AAGGAAGGAAGGAAGGAAGGAAGGAAGGAAGGAAGGAAGGAAGGAAGGAAGGAAGGAAGGAAAGAAGGAAGGAAGGAAGGAAGGAAGAAAGAAAGGGAGGGAAGGAAGGAGGGGCTGGGGGGTTGGGGCTGGGCTGACACAACTTGAAGTAGCAAGGCAGCCTCTCCTTGCTGCCCTGTGCTGGTCCGAGAACTTGAGCGGGGCCCTCAGACCCACCACCCAGCAGGGGAGGTGTGGGAGTGTGCACTGGTCTGGTTCTGCTATGAGGGCCACTGTGGAGGCCAGGGTGTGGGTCTTGGCCTATGAGTTAGAAATCAAATGGGTTTTGTCTTACTCTCAGTGCATTCTGAACACTGGTTCGTGACAGGTCAAGTAGGATTAATTATCTTATTAGTTCAACAAATCTTTGGGTGCATGCTATGTTCCAGATACTTCTCAGTGCAATGGGAAACAAGACACCCACGTGTGTCACAGCTTGCACAAACTTACCAAGTTGTATACATGTACTGATAGGTCCTTTATAAAGCACCACAGGAAAGAAGATACGAACAAGACAAATAGAAATAAGTTCTATTTCTTCCCACACTTCAGAGGGTACTAGTATTTGTGTTTCAGACGCCCACCTCCACTGTAATTTTGGGAAGAGGATCAGGTTTGAGTTGGGGCTGCCCATTGGAGGTGTGAAAGAGGAAGCAAGTCAGGCAGATGCTGAGCTCATATAATTGGTTAGCACATGAGTCTCAGCAAGGCCTGATGCCACCATTCTTTCCCTACTCCACTCTCCTTGAGAAAGGTACCCAGGGTGTCTGGGTGGGTGTTTAAGGTTCTTGCGCTCCTGTCCTGTACACTGTGGTAAAGGTATTGAGGGGTGTGTATGGGGTGTTGCTATTCAGACCCTTTTTAGTTTTTATAGACATTCATTGATGTTGTATTTGATCATCCCAACAAACGTCCGAGATGAGGGATCCTTTCCTCACTGGGAAGACCAGAGAATGGAGGCCTGTGCCTAGTATAATGAGCATGAGAGCCGGGCCCTGGCTGCTGCTTCCTCCTGCAGAAAGTCTTCCTTTCCATCTGCCTATCTTGCCATCCTCTGGAGGAACAAACCAGTGAACATGCTGGGCACCCCTGACTCTTGGCTCAGCATGTTCCACTTTTCTTCTGGAAGCAAACTTGGGCTCCAGGTCCTTGCTTCCTTCTGGGTCCACGATGGAAGCTGCACTTGGCCTCCTTTACTCGGGCATTAGCAGCCCAAGTGCAAGGGCTTTACCCATGGGGTATGGAGGAGCTAGAACACTGCAGACCTCTCCAGGTTCTCTTAAGTTTCTGTCCCCTTGGCCTGCTCTCCTGTGACACTTGGGTGGGACAGGGTGGTTGGCTCAGGGTCAGAAGCCTAGAGAGCTGGCTGACTTGCCCCCTCCCGATCCGTGTCTTCTGAGACTGTTCACTTTCCCTCCCTTGCACAAGAATTGGCCTTTCTGCTGGTGGGAGAATTGTTGTCTGTGTAGGTGTTGGTCTCCTGCTTAGAAGGAGCCTCCAGGAAAGGGCTTTTTTCCAGTGGCCAGGGGTGAGGCCTGAGACCTTGCAAGTAAAACCTAGGAAGTTAATCTCCTTCAGGCTTGTTCCTTCAGGGCATTTACTTAATTTCCTAGTTGTTCATCCCAGGCCCCGACCTCTTAACAATAGTAAGTGTCTGTATAGCAGTTCTCGATCTCTTCTACTTTTAGCCTCACCCCATCCTAGCAAGGAGGGAGAGGAATCACATGTGATGATACAGCAGGAAACAATGCCGGGCTAACATTTATGGAAGGGCCTGGAAGGTCGAGGGAGTCAATGCCGAGCCGGAGCTCCCTGCCCCTCCCCTGCAGGGGCTCGTCCTGGCTCTTTCCTGCCCTTCCTCCCCAAGGAACCAGCAGCCTTTGCGAGTCTCCTTGACAACAGAATGGATAAGTTAAAAATAACCTTGTGCTGGGGCTTGTGTGTGTGTGTGTGTGTGTGTGTGTGTGTGTGTGTGTGAGAGTGAGAGAGAGAGAGAGAGAGAGAGATGCACACAGACGCATGCCTTCTTGCCTGCTGTGCTCAAGCTCAGCCCCTGTGGCTTCTAGATGCTCCCAGAGAGCCTCTGTTGGGAGCCCTCCATGGCCACGCCCAGGTGCTCATGTTGAAGCCCCTGGGTTTAGCTGTCAGATCTAGATAATCACTCAGCATCCCTACCTCATATTACTGATTGTTACAGATGGGGTGTGAGTGATAATGTTAAGATAAAGAATGGCTCGATTGGGCGTCCTCCCATGCACCGAAAGGTTGCTGGTTTGATTTTCCAGTTCAGGGCAAATGCCAGGTTGTAGGCTCTATCTGCACCCTGGGCATGTGCAGGAGGTAGCCGATCACATGACATCGAGGTTTCTCTCTCCCTCTCCTTTTCCCTTTCTTTCTCTCTTTAAAAAAAAAAAAAGATAAAGAATGGAAAGCTGTTTTGAATGCCTTGGTCTTCATTCAGTCCCACTGGAAACAGATAATTTGGGAGGTGCTGCTGTGTTTCAGAGCTTCTCAGGGTGGTAGAATGGGACACAGTCCTGGGTGGGAGTTTGGTTGTTTCTCTTCAGTGAACCCCCACAGGTAAGGAGGGCCCTTTTTGGACCTCTTATTTTTAAAAAATATATTTTTATTGATTTCATAGAAGAAGGGAGAGGGAGAGATAGAAACATCAGTGATGAGAGAGAATCATTCATTGGCTGTCTCCTGCACACCCCACACTGGGGATCCAGCCCACAACCCAGGCCGGGAATTGAACTGTGACCTCCTGGTTCATAGGTTGATGCTCAACCACTGTGCCACCAGCCAGGCTGGGCCTGTTTTATAAGGAGAGGACACTGAAGTCCAGAGGCATTTGTGTGACTTTCTGTGCGTGGGAGGATGCCCAACCAACTGAGCAACACTGGTCAGGGCTTTCCATTCTTTATCTTAACACTAGAGGCCTGGTGCAGGAATTCATGCACGGTGGGGTCTGGCCAGCCCGCCCTGATGGGGGCCGATTGGGCTGGGGCCAACTGTGGGGAGGGGTCATGGGTGGTTGGCCGGCAGGCCCTGCCCCCGATAGGGGTTGGGGGGCTGATTGGGGGCAGGGCTGGGGGGGTGCGGGAGGTTGGGGGGCAGCCAATTGGGGCCTCAATTGGGCCAGTTGGCTGCCACAGTGCATGTCATAGCAACGGGTCTTTCTGGTCGTTCTGGTCGCTTGGCTTTTATATATATAGATTATCAGCTGCACTCCATCCGTAACAATCAGTAATATTAGGTAAGGATCCTGGCTCAGCTGTGGCAGAGTAAGGAGTCATCAGAAGCTGTAGATTGCTCTTTCCCTCAAATCTGAGTAATGAGACCATCTCTATAGGTCCTTTACCAAAGCCAGTGTCTCTTGTATGAGCAATCTCAGACTAAAGGCCTTCTCTTTTGTGGTGTTATCACAGTTGCAATTTAATTTAGAAATAGCTGTTTCCCTGAGGGTAGGCTCTGGGTATCTCTTTACCATACCTGGAATTAACTTCCTGCTTCCTCCTTCCATCCTCCCTTCCATTACTAAGTATTTCCCTGTGTGCCAGGCATGAGGATGTCATGAGAACAAAGTGTCTTGGTTCCCATCTTTAGAGAGCAATAGACAGTTGCAAAGATTGCCTTGTAAGCCCTCATTGTGGCCAGTGCCGAGAGGGAGAATGTCTGAATGTTAGAGGGAATGACTGGGGTGGGGCTGGGTTTAGAGAAGGCTGGGAGAACGTATTAGTGACGCAATACTTAAATCTGGGATGTATAAAATATTCCTACAAATCAATGAACGGAAGGCAGAAAACTCAGTAGGAAACTAGCCAGTGACTTGACAGATACTTCACAAAAGAAGACATCCAGATGGCCAGTAAACATAAAAACGGTTCTCAATTTCATATATTTACTAGTTTGGGAAATTCAAATTTCCCTAATTCAAACTTAAATATGTTTGCACACATACATAATGGAATCTTTTTTTTTTTAAAATATATTTTATTGATTTTTTACAGAGAGGAAGGGAGAGAGATAGAGAGCTAGAAACATCGATCAGCTGCCTCCTGCACATCCCCCACTGGGGAAGTGCCCACAACCCAGGTACATGCCCCTGACCGGAATCGAACCTGGGACCCCTCAGTCCGCAGGCCGACCCTCTATCCACTGAGCCAAACCGGTTTCGGCAAGGAATCTTTAAAGATGTGGTAAAACATCCTTTTGCCATTTCTAGTTTATTTCATTTTGAATTTCTTACTGAAAAAATAAAATGGACTCCAAGATGCTTGAATAAAAGGAAATCTAGTGGGATGAACAAACTTAATTCAGAAGACCTGGGCTAACAGGAGATTTGGTGCCAGCCAAGGAGCTCCTCAGAGTCCGGGTCTTCATTTGTAAATAGGGACCTTTTTGTTTCTTCCTTTCCTCCCAGAACTGCTCTGAGGTTCACAGGCATGGGAAACGCTCTAAAAACTGTGAAGGGCTATGCAGATACTAAGTAATATTGTTGTTACTGTCTAATTCTTTGTGATTTGATTTCTCACCCACCTCTTCTCACAGCAGCTATGCTAAATTCCCTTAAGAAATAAAAGCTCTGAGTAGTAGGATCAAGAATGAGGTCCAGATGAAGTCTAGTCACAGCCGCCCTTTGCATTCTTTGGGTGTGAAGGAGCCCCTCTCTCCCTCTTCTGGACTATTCTTTGTCAGGCAATGGGCATTGTGTAGACTGTGGCTGTTGCCCATCATCCTGAGGTGCAGGTGCAGGTCGCTCTTGCAGTAGAGAGCGGGCCACCTTGGCACATGTCAGCACTGTGTCAGGATTGCTGTGAGTCCCATCTGTTATGTCACCTGACAATGCCAGGTCTTCAGGCCCAATTTGGGTCTTTGCCCACAGATCTCCTATGACAGGTATGTACTTCTTAGTAGCCTACATTTTTCACCTTTTCCTCCTCTTTTTTTCTGCTGTGTAGGAGTCAGAACCAGAAGTAAAGGCAGATGGAGAGACTGCATCTGACAGTGAGAACCGTGCGGAAGCTGCTCCCCTAGTAACCTCCGCAGACGATACCCCAGAGGTCCTCAATAGGGCCCTTTCCAACTTGTCTTCAAGGTAACCTGGCTTGATGCGGGTGCTTGTTGGAAGCCTTGTTGCCTGTCCAAGTGCCATGGAAGACCCAGGCCCCTCAGAGAGCCCACAATCTTGTGGGAGTCCACTTCTGTCCACTGGTGTTGCCATGGTCTCCCCTGCCTCTGCCCAAGGCTTCATTGAGCATTAGTCATCTTAACAGCAACTGCGAGCACCGCCTGGAGGGGTCTGGCATTTGAAAGGTGCTCTAGGCTGGGCTGGGAGGGGCAGTCCGAGGAGGACAAAAGGGTGGACAGTGAGGTGGTGATGGGCAATGTTGCTGGCACAGCACATGTGGAGAAATGGTCCCTGGGGTTTGACTGATGGGTGGACTGCTTTTCACAGAGGAGTCCAAGTTTGTAGTTCAAAAAAGTTTAGTTTTCCCTTTCCCCCTGCACGTCCTTGTGGACATTTAAAAATTCTCCTGGAAGAATTGAGAAATGTCTTAACTTGGGTGAATCCAGAGTTGAAATTCTGGTCCCTGAGACTCTGATCCCTCCAACACCAGCTATGTGGGTAGGTTGAAAATACCAACTATAAGACCCCAAAACATTGTCTAAAAGTGTTTCTGTGGTGCCTCCCACACACGTGCCCTTTGAAAGGTGGTATTGTGCAGTGGTTCAGGACATGGGTTCTGGAGCCAGCTCCCAGGGTTCAGTCCCAGCTTAACCACTTCACAGTCGTATGGCCTGTTACCCAGTTCCTCGTCTATAAGAACTAGAAGTGTTGAGGGCTGAGTGAATTAATATATGTAAAGTCCTTATAAAGGTGCCAGGTGCGTATTTGTGATACCTGTTACTATCACTGTTTAATGTTGTTATCACCACAGCGATGCAGGCGCAGAGCGATGTAAGATTCTGCCGCAGGAAAATGTTTATAGTTGTGTGTTTTTGTGGATAGAGGCAGCCATAGAAGCTGTCCAAGTAGATTCAGAAGTAGAGGGCACCACGTTTCCTTTGGAATTTTTTGCCCGATTCCTTCGTTAAGACATAACTTAGGTGTAGCCCTTGGAGCACTAGCTGAGTTTGGTGTGGGTGAGGCATTGTCTCTAGCGGCGCTGCTCCCACAGCACGTGGCTAGTTTGTCACCCGGGTGAAGGAGGTGCTCCTGGAAGGCTAACCTCAGGCCCTCTCCTCCCAGGAAGAGCCATCCCCTTGAGTTTGTGTTTCAGTTATTTCTGGGCTTCTAACGTGCTTTCTCCTTCCCTCCTCTCTAACTTAGATGGAAGAACTGGTGGGTGAGAGGCATCCTGACTTTGGCCATGATTGCATTTTTCTTCATCATCATTTACCTGGGACCAATGGTTTTAATGATGATTGTAAGTGCCATTTGCATACTGTTTTAGTTCTACCTTCAGTTTGTCGTGCAGAATCAGCCATCTGAAGAGCCAGGTGCTGGGTTAGTTCTGGGACTCATTTGGGGTCCAGGCTTCACAGAATATTTCTTTCTTAAAATATCTGTGGCTTCTTACTTTTTAGCAGCCAAGTGCAGGGACATGGGCCTAGGCCAGTTGTATATGGTTAAAGATGCCTCTTCATTTCATTTTATTTATTTTTTTTAAAAAATATATTTTTATTGATTTTAGAGGAAGGGAGAGAGAGAAGTGAGAATCATTGATCGGCTGCCTCCTGCATGCCCCACACTGGGAATTGTACCTGCAACCTCGGCATGTGCCCTGACCGGAAATTGAACCGTGACCTCCTGGTTCATAGGTTGACGCTCAACCACTGAACTACGGCCAGAAGATGCCTCTTCATTTTAAAATTTTATTTATTTATTTATTATTTTTTTTTAAAAAATATATATTTTATTGATTTTTTACAGGGAAGAAGGGAGAGGGATAGAGAGTTAGAAACATTGATGAGAGAGAAACATCGATCAGCTGCCTCCTGCACGCCCCCCAGTGAGGATGTGCGCGCAACCAAGGTACATGCCCTTGACCGGAATCAAACCTGGGACCCTTGAGTCCGCAGGCCGACGCTCTATCCACTGAGCCAAACCGGTTCGGCTTAAAATTTGATTTTATTATTTCAACTGTTTGATTATACTGTGACCCCTGACCTGACTGTGATTCTTGGTTTTGTTTATTTTCCTGGGGCCTCACTCATTGGCTTAGGCCTTTCATAAGAAATCCCAGCCCACCGTGCTTCTCTCTTCGTCCCATTGTCATGGACAGGGTCAGATGACTTACAATTGACTGAGGGGCATAGATGCTGGGGCTTTTTGAGTATTTGTATGCGAAGTCAAAAGGGGAAGAAACTGTTGAGTCCTGGAAGGTTACGGAGTAAAAAGTTAATTGAAACTTCAGGAGCATGTATTTATTGTGAGAAATTGGATCTATTCTGTGTGACACAAAAGGCTACCTTGCCGTGTTCGATGGTGTGAGAGAGAAAAGAGCTGAATCACTGAGGGACTGACATTTTTCTTAAATACAGTGGTTTTTCTTAAAGGCCCATGACCTGTTGGTTTCTGTTTCTAAAGATCATATCAGGTGGTCTAATTCTTGTGTGTCCTGCAGGTGATGTGTGTTCAGATAAAGTGTTTCCAGGAGATTATCACTATTGGCTACAATGTCTACCACTCCTATGAACTACCTTGGTTCAGGACCCTCAGCTGGTAAGCTCTCCAGCCCCTTAGGGACCCATAACAGATTTGGATGATAAGTGTTTTGTGGTAGATATTTACAGTGGTGGTGGGTGGGAGAGGAGTGATGGCCACAGACTTGCATAGCACCTTTGAGACCCGAGTATTTCATAGGCCAGACGATATGGCTGGTCTTGAAGGAGTCTTTAGTAGCTATTAGCAACCTGGAATCTTCCTCAGAAGAAAGCAGAGTGGCTGACATGTTATAGAAGTAAGTGCCGTGGGGGCAGATATCATGTTAGGTCTGGCAGGGTTTTATGAAGAAAATGGTGTTTGAACAGTGATAAAGAGAGATAAGTGAAGAGGATGGCCAGGCAGGGAAAAGACAGGAGCAAAGCAGATAGGTGGCAACCTGATAGGCACGCAGGGTTCCTGTTGGGAAGAGTGGCAATAAGACCGGGATCCAGGATGAGGCGTGTTTTGGAGCATTATCTTAGGGGTTGAGCGTTCTCAGGTTAGGTATAGAGACTCTACAAAAGGGGCAAAAACTGAGTCCCAGGTTTGTGATAAATGGAGGATGAATGAAAGCTGCCATAAGTTTCTAGACAAGCTTCTCACCTACAGTGTCACTGAGAACAGGGTTGTCCTGAGAGTGGGGGGACTGCTCTTCTGGTCCTCTCCTCTGGTTCCTTGACAGCCTCCCTGTAAGGATAGGCTGTAAGTGCTCCCCACCGCAGTGACCTGTCTTCACTTACAGGTACTTCTTACTGTGTGTAAATTATTTCTTCTACGGTGAAACAGTGACGGATTATTTCTTCACTCTGGTCCAGAGAGAGGAGCCTTTGAGGATTCTCAGCAAATACCACCGGTTCATTTCCTTTACTCTCTACCTGATAGGTATGCATTGAATGGCTCACGAGTTCTTGTTTTGTGTGTCCGCTGAGTAGGAAATGGGGAGTTTCTTGGTTAATGTAAAGCTTTGAGGATGTTAACTCTGATCGTGCAGGGGAGCAGAGCTGAGGGCTCTGCCTTAGTGAGCTGTAACAGCGCTTCAGTAAGAGAAGTGGGACTGAGCGGCTTTGTGGGTGTGGGGACTGCAGTCGGTGCCCCGTGTCCCTGCTGCAGCCTCTGTTGGAAGACAGCACAGCATGGTCCTGTCCTAACTCCTATCGGCAGAGATTCTGCAGTGTAACCAAAACAAAACCACCTTTTCTTCTCCCCCAACATGAACCGCTTGGATTTATTGAAATATTAAAATATGGAAATATAAAAGTATTCCATTATTTGAGAGGGAATCTAGAAGGCAGGTTACAAAAGAATACACTATTTTTATACATTCATGCTTATGTTTTTGCATAAACAAAATTCTAATAGGACATAAAGTTAAAATTGTATACAGAAAAGCCACCTGTTTTAATAACTTAAAAGTCAGCCACCCCCCCCCCCCCCCCCCCCCCCCCCAGAAAAAAAGATAGAAACAGTCAGCTATCTTTAGGAGCGTCTTCTTAGGAGAACACCTTGAAGGACAGACATGCAGAGTGGTAGAAATTTTACTGATTTGGATTTTCAAAGACTGACCTCAGAGAGCCTGGAAGCTTAGTCATTCTGAGTTTCAGTGAGCTCTCTTTAAATCTAGAGCTGAAACTGTGGACTTCCTGAGGATTAAATCGGATACATTAAAACTTGGCAGACAGTGAAGTACTGGTCAATCTAAACTCAGTTCAGACTGAACTCTCATGCTGTTAGTGCTAGTGATTTTCATAGTTGCCTTTAATGCTGGTTTGAGGCACCTGAGAAAGTTGTTCTGGCCTAAATTTGTCTGACCTATTTTTAATCAGCTCTGAATGACACCTGGGTATTAAGATACAAAATTCACTGCTAAGGAGTCTGCAGACATTGAGGATATGTCTCAGAACCTAAAAGCAGTCCCCCAGCGGGAGGTCAGCGGTGTCTGGAGCAGCGATGTGCTCTCTTCTGGGCAGAACTGCTTTTGAGGGGCCTAGCACACTTATGGGAAGTCCTTTTCCTTCCTGGAAAAGTGGGTGGAGGCTGCAGATATTTTTTGCCACCATATGCATCAAAGACAAGGGTGGCTTCTACTCCATACCTGATGGATCCTCTGTTCACCAGACCTCTTCACTGGGACAGGGGTAAAAAACTTTTTCTTAAAAGTCCAGATAATCAATATTTCAGATTTTGGGGGCCCAGCGTCTCTGTTGCAACTCTCCAATCTGCCCTTATAACACAAAAGTAACCATAGACAATATGTAAACAAATGGATATAGCTTTGTTTCAATAAAATTTTAGTTATAAAATCAGGCATCTGGCCTGACTTCTTTGCTGGTGCCTGCTCGAGGATCAAAATATTCTTATCTGGTGAACAACAACCTGAACTTAGTAGTCTACAAGATTTAAAGATAGTGCCTTCCTTTGATTGTCTTGAAGGAGTCATTTTTCCCCTTCTGATTGCTATCTGAAGAATCAGTTTGTGTCTTCTTCCCCCTTCCCCTTCCCGGGGTTTGGGATTGTGCACTGATTAGGTGCTGCCAGGAAATTAGCCAAAGGATCACAATCACAGTCACGTACACAGCTAAAGGAAATGACTAGGACAAAGGTAAATGCAGAGTGTGATTAATTTTGCTCTTTCTCCTCCCTCCTCAAACCAGGATTCTGCATGTTTGTATTGAGTTTGGTCAAGAAGCATTACCGTCTTCAGTTCTACATGGTAAGGGAAGTATGTGTGTGTGTATGTCAGAAGGCTTGGCTTAAATGAAATTCTATAAAAACTCAACAGGCGTTTCATCTTTTCCTTAAGAAATCAAAGCTCAAGTGCAGTCTGTTCTGTATGTATCTGGAACCCAGAGCACGAAAGAAGAGGGCCTGATTAAGTTTGGCAACTGTACATCCACTTACTAGTAGACCCAATCACTGTTACTTAATTTACACCAGTTAATTTAACCAATTTCTCCACTAGGTCCTGAAGAAGGTGGGCTCCAGGTAAGGTTACTAGAAAGAGACCAGGACCAAGCCAGGTCTGCCCTGGCACAATCTGGAATGTTTGGGTTCTTGACTTCATGTGAGAAAGATTTCACGATTTTAGTCAAGGTGATTTTGAGAGTATGTTTATTAAAGCTGGGGAGAGTGAAACAAAGGAAGGGCTTAAGATAGAAAAGGCAGCAACAGAAGTTGCCTAGACACAATAAAGGAAATTACAGTAACAGAAGTGGCAGAAGTGAGCCGTGCTGGGCTGCGTGGACTCAGGAAACAAGTTACAGAGGCAAAAGGAGGGCCCTTGGAAATAGGTTCAGGGGGTTAGCCCTGGATAAGCTGCCACTGCCCGCCATTCCCCTGGTTGCAAGTCTCCTGGGGGACCTTTAGAGCTTAGAAGAAAGAAAGCAAAAGTGTACACCTCAGGAAAGAAGAGGCACAAGCATGCTCAAGGGAGAGTGCACACCGAGTCCTTTGTCTTAAGTGTTTTTATCTGTTTCCTGAGGCAGGAATTTTGGGAGGTCTCATGGAGGGTCTCAACAGAATAGTCAACAATTCTCCAGGTGTGTTCTTTAATATACGATGCATCGAAATGAGCATATAGGGCAGGGGTCCTCAGACTACGGCCTGCGGGCCACATGCAAATACAAATACTGTATTTGTTCCCGTTTTGTTTTTTTACTTCAAAATAAGATATGTGCAGTGCGCATAGGAATTTGTTCATAGCTTTTTTTTAAACTATAGTCCGGCCCTCCAACGGTCTGAGGGACAGTGAACTGGCCCCCTGTTTAAAAAGTTTGAGGACCCCTGATATAGGGAGTTTGGGTTCATTCTCTGGCCAGCTTCACTGCTTTATTTTTTATCTTGGATTTGTCTGGCTCTCATTTTTGTTTGTTTGTTTTGCTATTTATTCTCCTGACTTCATCTGTTTTTGGGTTTGGCTGCCCCTAATGGCACTGTCTGGATCTCTGTTATCTCTCTCCTTGACTAGTGTGATTTAAGCTATTCTTTCTTTCCTTGGGGAGGAGAAGTGTAGCCATTTGCTCCTAAGTGTCCTCGGTTAGGGAAAATGAGATCTTGGGATTTATTAGCGGGCCGTGTTTAACATTGCTCAGCCTTGTTGAACTACTTGTCTCAATTTCCCTCATTCCACTTGCCAAGGAATTTCCTGCTTTCTTACCATCCTGCCTCAGTGCCTCGGGCACTGTTCACGGATATCTTACATCACTTTCTCAATTTGAACATATTCCTTCTCTGAGTGCCCCAGGCACTCAACAAATACTTAGAAGTACCCAGGCTTTCAGGGCACAGAGGACGTACTCTCTAGTGAGCCATGTGGTCCTGACGTGATGGGGACAGTAGCTGGGGGGACACAATTTCTCCCAGAGGCCTGTTTTGTGCCTTTTCCCTTCTAATAAGAGGTGCAGAAGCAAATATCTTTCCTACCTGTTTCTTAGCAATTTCCTATTTGTCACTGCCTGTTATTTATTTGAAGTTCCTTTCAAGGTAAACCGACAGGTAAAGTTGACTCTTTTTCTTCTTTTGCAGTTTGGCTGGACCCATGTAACGCTACTGATTGTTGTCACCCAGTCACATCTCGTTATCCACAACCTGTTTGAGGGAATGATCTGGTGAGTGATGAGAGTGAAAGAATTTTCCCTTTTATTTAATAGGTGATTCTCATGTACAGGTGCCTTACCTTCTAAGCCAATGGTTCTCCCCTTGCGCTGGTTACAACACAGGTTGCTGAGCCCCACCTCTTGGGTTTCTGCTTTAGTACATCTGGGGTGGGGCCTGAGAATTTGAATTTCTAGGCATTCCCAGGTGATGCTGGTTTTGCTGGTTAGGACCTACACTTTGAGAACCACGGTTCTAGATGAAGAGGGACAGGGATATTTAAAGAATCAAAGATAATGCAACTGTATGGCACCAATTTGAAATCTTAGAAGAAATTTTTATGACTTTCTGACAAAATGTCAACTACTAAATGTCATGAAGAAGAAAATTTGAATAGATCAATAACTATAGAAAATAACTAGATAAAACTTAGTTTTATCTAGCCCTTAATACTAAAGCTGATAAGCATGTGGAGGGAGAAACAAGAATGATAAACTGATTTCTTTTATTATTATAGATAAACTATTCAAAATAAACTGTTAGCAAATGGAATCTGGCAACATGTCAAAAGAATTTGAACAGTCATGTGCTGCTTAAGAACGTTTTGATCAATGATGAATGCATACACTGATGGCTCCAATGGAGCTGAAAAATTCCTATTGCCTAGTGAAGTCGTAGTGAGATGCATTACAGATACTTACCATTGTGTTATAATTGCCTACAGTATTCAGCACAGTAGCATACTGTACAGATTTGTAGCCTACGAGGTATCGGGGAACAGAGTGTGTCAACCCCAAATATCTCTACTTGGCATAGGATTATTTTAGGCTGGTTAATTTTAAGAAATATCAGACTTGGGATAAGCTCTGAAAACCAAGTAGAAGTTACCTTTTGTAAAATACATTTACATTTGTGGGGGGGAAATCTCCATTTGTAAGGGTCCCTGCTGTTCCAGGAGGAGGGGATAACATTGTTCCTACTAACTGTTATTGAGGCAGAAGAGAACAAATGGGCTTAAATCTGCATAACACCTTACTCTTGTTTATTTTGCTCTCCCTGATAGCCTATACCCGACTCCCCCCATCCCTAGTGTCTTCTTTTGTCTTCAGCTGAAGATGCTATTTCATGTAGTTGTTTCAGCCATTTTGGCCAGTTACTCAGTTTTCCTGGTATACATATTTTTAAATTTTTGTTTTTCTCCTATTATTACAGGGATGTGTCAGCCAAAAGCCCAGAAGGGTAGAGGGAAAATTATTTTTCCTCCCCTATAGAGCAATAGGCTATAGCCTAGGTGTATGGCAGGCTACACCGTCTAGGTTTGTGTAAGTGCACTCTATGACGTTGGTATAAGGATGCAATCATCTAACACTGTATTTCTCAGAGTGGTATCTCCATAGTTAAACTGCACATGACTGTACTGTTACTTAATAGATTTTATTCCAGAAATGCAGTAGTTTTTTGGTGGTGGTGAGAACGGCACCAGGTGTTAGACTGGTGGAGTCAGATTCAGTGACCTTGATCCTTGAGTTCTGGCCAAGAAATAATTCAGAGCCAAGACCTCAACTATGAGAGAAAGTTTATTTAGAAAGTCACTGAAGTAGAAGTGAGTGGTAGAAGAAATGGGCTCTGGAAACAAGTTACAGAGGCAAAAGAAGGGCCCTTGGAGCTGAGGAGAAAGAAGGGAAAAGGCAACAAGCCTGGGGAGAAAGGGGAGGAAGAGCATGCTGGGTCCTCTGTCCTAAAGGCTTTTGAGGTGGGGATTTGAGGGGAGATCTCAGGGGAAGATCTCAGTAGAATATTCATTCATCAGCTTTCCAGGTGTGTCCTTCAGGGTAAGGGTCCCTACCGATTGATCAGTGCCAGGCCAGGGGGGTCATTATTCAGTGCAGCTGGTCCTGAGGTCATCGTGGCATCATTTGTTTGGTTTTGTTGCTTTTCTGTGCCTGGAGTTGAAACACAACTGAAACCTAGATGTATTTGGTTTGGGTCAAAACTTCATTGTTCTGGAGTCTTAATGCTTAAGGGCTACCACAGGACTAGCAACAGGCCAGGGGAGGAAAGGTCCGAACCACATTACCTACCAGCTATAAGAAAGGTTAGGAGGTCTGAAGTGACCACGTGACCAGTGATACTAGGGGAGGAAAGGTTACCCTGGGGGCGAGGATCTTGTTTTCCCAGTTTTGTCTGTTGCTGGGCACCCAGGGCTTTCTGCCCTGATGACCATCTGTCTCTGGCCCACTGTCCTTGCTCTGCTCATGCCTGTCCAACAGCCTTCCACAGTTTCAACAGGAAATCTGTCAGCATTGATACAAATTAGCAGGCTGGTGGAAGAAGCTGGATGGTCTTAGTGAAGAGGTGTGGGTGGCCTAGCCTAGGGTATATAAGAGAGGTACTAAGGTATTGTGGGTAAGACCCCCAGCTTGCGCTTTTGTTTCTAAATTTCAGAATGAGGGTATAGTATTCCCTACCTCCTGAGGAATAAATTACTAAATACACGTAAAGTGCTTAGAACAGAAACTAGCTTATATAAATGTTATAGGACAGTGATTGCGAACCTTTTGAGCTCGGCGTGTCAGCATTTTGAAAAACCCTAACTTAACTCTGGTGCCGTGTCACATATAGAAATTTTTTGATATTTGCAACCATAGTAAAACAAAGATTTATATTTTTGATATTTATTTTATATATTTAAATGCCATTTAACAAAGAAAAATCAACCAAAAAAATGAGTTTGTGTGTCACCTCTGACACGCGTGTCATAGGTTCGCCATCACTGTTATAGGTATTATGGTTAGGGCATACAGCTCCTTCCCTTTCTTTCAGTTTCTGTTAGGTGTTTCTTAACAGTGGCACATGCTAAGTCCTATCTTTAAGGCCAGATATACCATTTGTTTCTATAGTGAGTAATACAGTTATTAAAATCTCTAGTTATTGGTTTTCAGACTCAACCTATAAGACTTAATTATAGCTGCAGAGCAGAGAGTATGTGCTAGAAGCCTCCACAAAGTCAATGTTGTGGGGGTTTGGGGGGATACAGATGCTCTAATTCTCTCCTTAACAAGCAGGAAGTCCAAAAATGTTGCTTATAGTTGATGGGCCAGGAAATTGAGATTTATGCATAAGTCTGTAATAGAGAAAATTTAAAAAAAGTGACTGTTAGAGAGGGGAGAGTGAGGAGAGGAGGGTGATGGCACAAATGTGGAAATTGTGCCCTACTCTCCCCCACAACTGGTTTCATGATGGGGAAGACCAGACCAGCAGGGGGAGGCAGAGAAGAAACCTAGGTGTGTGTGGATGTGGTTTTACCCTCAGGGTAGTCCCAGGGCAGTGATGGCGAACCTATGACACGCGTGTCAGAGGTGACACACAAACTCATTTTTTTGGTTGATTTTTCTTTGTTAAATGGCATTTAAATATATAAAATAAATATCAAAAATATAAATCTTTGTTTTACTATGGTTGCAAATATCAAAAAATTTCTATATGTGACACGGCACCAGAGTTAAGTTAGGGTTTTTCAAAATGCTGACACGCCGAGCTCAAAAGGTTCGCCATCACTGTCCTAGGGAAAGGTCGGGCTTACTAGATAGAGCTCCTAGTAATACACAGTAAAAAAAAAAAAAAGTAAATTATGACATAAAATATATTACTTATTAGAATTATGGAGGCAACTACTAGAGAAGAAAAACCAGAAATGTTTATAAGCGGCTACTTTGGGGAATGGAGATAGGATGGGAGAAACAAGGAAAACTTTTATTTTTTTTCTTTCCTTTACAGTTTAAATTTGTTTTATTGTGTAGATAATTACTTTATAATGACAAAAGAATAAATGACATTTTATAGAATGCCACTTTTATTTATTCAGTAGTCATTCAGTAAACATTTGAATGTCTGCTATGTGCCAGGTAGTAGGAAGGGCTTGTTTGGTATTTTATTTTTTTTTAAAGTTATTTCTGTCCTGGCCGGGTGGCTCAGTTGGTTGGGGCATCTCCTGTACATCAAAAGGTGGTGGGTTTGATTCCCAGTCAGGGCACATACCCAGGTGGTGGGTTCCATCCTGTTGGGTGCGTGCAGGAGGCAGCGGATCGATGTTTCTCTCTCACACACACATCTCTCTCTCTCTCTCTCTCTCTCTCTCTCTCCAATAATAATTTAAAAATCTCTTTAAAAAAGTTATGTCTTAATGGGTAACAAGTACTCTGAGTTATTTTGTTTGGTACTGGAGTTTATGAATGGTATTATTTTGTGGACTTTTGAGGTATTATTATCTTGGTAGTGCTGATCCTTTGGTTTATTTCCTAGGTTTATTGTCCCCATTTCTTGCGTGATCTGTAATGACATCATGGCCTATATGTTTGGATTCTTCTTTGGTCGGACCCCACTCATCAAGGTAAATGGATCACCCTAACATGAAATATCACCATAAGGGAAGGGTGATGCTCTCAGCTTGGGAAACAGAGATCTAGCTGGTGTGTATGTCTTCATGTCATCCTGGAGAAAAGTGGTACTACATTTTTTTTTAAAGAAAAAAACAAAGGGAAACACCAACAGTTACCCACAAGAAAAAAAAAAAAAAAAAAAGCTAAAAAGAAAATTCAAATATCAAAAATTCAAGAACTAAGAGAAATGGACAGAAAAGAGAGAATGAGAGTTGCTTAAACTCAGGAAAAGATTATAGAAAGATGCCAAAACCGGTTTGGCTCAGTGGATAGAGCGTCGGCCTGCAGACTGAAGGGTCCCAGGTTCGATTCCGGTCAAGGGCATGTACCTGGGTTGCAGGCACATCCCCAGTGGGAGATGTGCATGAGGCAGCTGATCGATGTTTCTCTCTCATCGATGTTTCTGACTCTCTATCTCTCGCCCTTTCTCTCTGTAAAAAATCAATAAAATATATTAAAAAAAAAAAAAAAGATTATAGAAAGAAAAAAAATGAATAAAGACTAAAATACTTGGTGCCTAAGGAGGAATAGAGTCAAATATAAATTTTAAAAGTTATACTGTTTTATGAGTAATGATCTATTTTGAGTTAATATTTTTCTTAATTACTTTTATTTTTTTATTATTTTAAAATTCTTTATTGTTGGAAGTATTACATATGTCTCCTTTTTCCCCCCATTGACTTCTCCCAGCTTGCTCCTGCCCCCCAGCACAGGCCCTCACCCCTCTATTGTCTGTGTCCATTGGTTATCCTTATATGCATGCATATAAGTCCTTTGGTTGACCTCTTATCTCCCTCTCCCCCCCTCCCCTGTCTTCCCTCTGATTGAGTTAATTTTTAAAAAATATTTCTTTATTGATTTCAGAGAGGAAGGGAGAAGGAGAGAGAGATAGAAACATCAATGATGAGAGAGAATCATTGATTGGCTGCCTCCTGCATGCCCCACAGGGATCAAGCCCTCAACCCAGGCATGTGCCCTCAGCCTGAACCGAACCCGGGACCCTTCAGTCTGCAGGCTGATGCCCTATCCAAGCCAGCCAGGGCTGATTGAGTTAATTTTTATATGTGATGTGAAATTAGGGTCCAAGTTCATATTTTTGCACATAAATATTTGTTTATTCCAGCAAAAAATAAAATATTTTATAAACTATATAAGCATATTTTTGGGGTTTGATATGAACTTGAGTATTGCTATTTAATTAGTATACTGTTCTATAATATAATTAAATGATTTGAATGACCAATTGAAGAAAGAAAACTGAGGGGAATCAGGCAGGGAACAAGGAAACCAAGCATGGAGGTATTTTAGAAGGTGAGGTGGTTAACAGAGTTTTAACAAGTATTCATTGTCCCAAAGCCAAATATATCAAAATGCCCTTTGCTAAGAACTTGTTCTCTGTCCACAGCTGTCACCGAAGAAGACCTGGGAAGGCTTCATTGGGGGCTTTTTTGCTACTGTGCTGTTTGGCCTTCTGGTAGGTGGTGGCTTCCTGTTAGGTGGGGCAGTGACAGAAGCCTCATACCCGTCTTTGAAGCTTATCCAGGGCTAGAGAGCATGTCTCCCAAGGCCAACGACTCTGTCCTACTCGATGGGGACCTTGCTCTGAAGAGGGGCACCAGATGGCACACTCTGTAACTGGCACAGGTGGCACCAGCTAATCTTCATCTGCCAGTTTTCAAGCAGGGACTTGGTAGTCTAGGAGCAGGGGCCATGTGCACCTGTACTTCTCTCTTGCCCATGCATGCAACACTCAGCAGGTGGCGCTCTTGTCCAGGCATTTGATATGTCAAGGTCTGGGTGATTGGCACCGGAGAGTAGGGGTGGGGTGAAATATGCCACTCCAGCTCAGATTTTCTCCTTTGTGTGCCCTGCTCATAGTGGGTGATCTCCCAGCCCTTTTAAGAGCACCATTCCCTGCTCTGACCCAGACCATTCTCCCCTTTGTGTGTTGTCCATCTGTCCTTCAGTGTCAGCTTCCTTACCTTATTGCTCTTCAGTTTTCTTCCTCCTGGCTGCCTGCCTCTCCCTATACAGTTCCCCCACCTCCTGCCTCTAGTGAGCACCAAGTTAAGAGATTCTTTTTTTTTTTAATTTTTTTTTTTTTAATTAAATCTTTATTGTTCAGATTATTACATTTGTTCCTCTTTTTTTTCCCCCCCATAACTCCCCTCCTCCCAGTTCCCGCCCCACCCTCCGCCCTCACTCCCCACCCACTGTCCTCATCCATAGGTGCACAATTTTTGTCCAGTCTCTTCCCGAATCTCCCACACCCCTTTCCCCCCCAGGAATAGTCAGTCCATTCCCTTTCTATGTCCCTGATTCTATTATAATCAACAGTTCATTCTGTTCATCAGATTATTTATTCACTTGATTCTTAGATTCACTTGTTGATAGATGCATATTTGTTGTTCATAATTTGTATCTTTACCTTTTTCTTCCTCTTCCTCTTCTTAAAGGATACCTTTCAGCATTTCATATAATCCTGGTTTGGTGGTGATGAACTCCTTTAGCTTTTCCTTATCTGTGAAGCTCTTTATCTGACCTTCAATTCTGAATGATAGCTTTGCTGGATAAAGTAATCTTGGTTGTAGGTTCTTGGTATTCATCACTTTGAATATTTCTTGCCACTCCCTTCTGGCCTGCAAAGTTTCTGTTGAGAAATCAGCTGACAGTCGTATGGGTATTCCCTTGTAGGTAACTGAGTTTCTTTCTCTTGCTGTTTTTAAGATTCTCTCTTTATCTTTTGCTCTTGGCATTTTAATTATGATGTGTCTTGGTGTGGTCCTCTTTGGATTCCTTTTGTTTGGGGTTCTCCGCGCTTCTTGGACCTGTAAGTCCATTTCTTTCACCAGGTGGGGGAAGTTTTCTGTCATTATTTCTTCAAATAGGTTTTCAATATCTTGCTCTCTCTCATCTTCTGGCACCCCTATAATTCTGATGTTGGTATGCTTGAAGCTGTCCCAGAGGCTCCTTACACTATCCTCGCATTTTTGGATTCTTTTTTCATTTTGCTTTTCCGGTTGGGTGTTTTTTTCTTCCTCGCATTTCAAATCATTGACTTGATTCTTGCGCTCCTCTGGTCTGCTGTCGGGAGTCTGTATAATATTCGTTATTTCAGTCCGTGTATGCTTAATTTCTAGTTGGTTCCCCAATATACGATCGAGGGTCTCATTAGTTTTCTTGTAGATCTCATTAAGTTTATCGGCGGCTTCTAAACAGTTCTTGAGAGACCTTAAAAGTGTGGTTCTGAACTCTATATCTTCCATTGACAATTTTGTCCTGTTTCTTTGTCTCCGCATTTTGTTATGCTTCCTTGGTGCACCCCCTAGTGGTCTTTGTTCGCAGTCTTATAGTTAAATCTTGATTGTTGTAGCTAATTCCAGGGAGGGTTTGACCTCCAGGCCAAGTGGCTATGAGAATCAGCTGTGTCAGCAGTGAGAGAACTTCTGTCCTCTAGGGAGGTGCTAATCTAGCCTTTGCCTGAGGCTATCCGGCAAATGCCTCTGTGCAGGGCTTGGGCGGGGCGGGTCGCACAGGATCAACAGGGTGGGCCGGAGAGAGCAGTTATGGCGGCTCTCAGTCCTGTCCCCAGGGGCTCTGCCTCTCTGAGTCCTAGCACCCGCTGCAAAGCTCAGAGAGAAAGCTGCACTCGCTCTGACCGAAGCCAGACAGTCCCGTTTCTCCCGTTTGAGTCTGGGTCCCTAAAGACTCGCCCGGATCTGGAGCTCAGAGTCTGCGACTCCCTCCCGATTGAAAACGCCAACCGCGCCCTCCGCCGCCAGCCGGCTCCGCGCACTCCGCACCTCAGAATTTGACTTCAGCACTGCGCCTCCTCTGGGTGTCCGTATGCATTTCTCTTTCCTCCTAGTTGTAGGACTTCCACTCAGCCGGCGTTCCTGTGGTTCTGGGTGCTGTCCCTTCCGTTTTTTGGTTTCACTTTTGAAGTAGTTGTTCAAAGCAGCAAACTCCGGCGTTAACCTATGCCGCCATCTTGGTTCTCCCAAGTTAAGAGATTCTGAGAAAATGGACTGTAGCTCCCCACGTGGGTAGAAATTTCTTATAGTTCCTTCGTTGCGTTCCTTCGTCCACATTCCTCAGGTCTTTCCTGGATCCAGTCAGCATAGGAATGTTTGAGCAAGTATGCATGTGTGCATCCTCAACAGTTCAGGTAAAATACACATGTGGTGAAACCGAAACCTCTTATTCAGCGCGTGGCTTGCAGTTAGAGGGTGCTAGGCACTGACTGTAAGGGACATGGCCAAACCAGGTGTCTGCTGCCCAGGCAGGGTGGCCGAACTTGTCTCCTTTGCCTGTCTCTCTGTTCTTCATCCTCAGCTGTCCTATGTGATGTCTGGGTACAGATGCTTTGTCTGCCCTGTGGAGTACAACAATGACACCAACAGCTTCACTGTGGACTGTGAGCCCTCGGACCTGTTTCGCTTACATGAGTACAACATTCCTGAGGTGATCCAGTCGGTCATTGGCTGGGTATGTGCCACTTCCGTGGAGGGAACTAACCTCAGTGGGTAGTGACTGCAAGAGAGAGCCCTCTCTCCACCGCTCAGAAAAGCCACCTTCCCTTCCCCAAAGCTGTGACCCCAGGATGAAGGAGAATTGTTAAGTCTGTTTACGGTGAGGACAGGAGGAGACTTTTCTTCCTACTTCAAATCATTAGGACCAGTGATTCTCAAAGTTTGCTTTGGGGATTTCTAGAGGACCCTAAGATCCCTTCAGGGGGTCTCTGAGGTCACAACTATCCTATATAATAAAAGCCCAGCAACCGAATGGCGAATGAACAGAATGACCAGTCGGCCAGTCGCTATGACGTACACTGGCCACTAGGGGCCAGACACTCAATGCAGGAGTTACCACAGTAGGAGTGCCGCTTGACTGACCAGGATGAGCAGCTGCTTCTGCTGCGAACTCTGGGCCGACGGGCAAGAACCCAGGCTGCTATTGTCGCCTTCTCGCCCCAGGTTCCTTCTCCTCACTCCCTGCTGCTTCCTCCAGCCGCCTGCAGGCTGCAGCCTGGGGGGCGGGTTCGTGGCTACTGTGGGACTGAGGACTACTCTGCCGCCTCTCAGTGCTATTATCCCTGGGCCTGGCCCAACTGGGTTCCCTGGAGAGTCAATATATTTTTATTGATTTCAGAGAGGAAGGGAGAGGGAGAGGGAAAGAGAGATAGAAGCATAAATGATGAGAGAGAATCATTGGCTGGCTGCTTCCTGCATGCCCCCTACTGGGGATCAAGCCCACAACCCAGGCATGTGGCCTTGACCAGAATCGAACCTGGGACCCTTAAGTCCCCAGGCCGATGCTCTACCCACTGAGCCAAACCAGCTAGGAACCTAGCTGCTTTTTCATAGAAACAATTTTTACTTGAAAAGAACTGACAAACTATAGTGTTTTAGACTGGATAGTTGACAGACATTTTTCTTGAAAATGAATGAAATGAGCCTGTCACTTCGAGGAAAACAGCTGACAGTAATTATTAACGCTGATAAAAATGTGGCTTTCATGTGAGTGTAGAATTTTAGAAAGTGTGTGCCTTCTATGAGTTTGACAGCATCCTAATACTTAAAGGGTTTTCTGATAAGATCTGTGGTAGCTTTAATATGTAATGTTTTGACACTGTATAGCTAAATGTGCCTGCATTTGGAACGTTGACATAACCCAGTAAAGGGTATTTTCTAAATGGCCAGTGCATGGAATCACACAGTCAGGCATGGGTAAAAGACCCATTCAGAGTACCAGATAGACCAGTGGATTTTAATTTAAGAGTATAAAAGGTCATTGATAGAATTTCAGGTTTCACATTGCACCAAATTTGTAAGGAACTACCACTTAACAAATTCTGGTGTAGTATCAAAGAATACCCATAATTATCTGAAAAGATAGTGCCAAAATACTCTTCCTCTTTTCAACTACATATCTGTGTAAGGCTGGATTTTCTTCATATACTTCAACCAAAACAATATATCAAAAAATTAAATGCAGAATATCTTAATGTCTTCTATTAAGCAGACATTAGAGATTTTTAAAAAATCAGTCTTCTTACTAATGTTTATTGGAAGGATGGGGGGGATATAGTTAATTGCATAAAGAGTTACTTATGTTAACATCTAATAAGGCTGGCCTGTAGGCATCTTGACTTTTACTTCATTTATTCTTCTCAGAAAATCGTCCGGATGTACCCTTTCCAGATTCACAGTATTGCCCTCTCCACCTTTGCCTCACTCATCGGCCCCTTTGGAGGATTCTTTGCAAGTGGATTCAAACGAGCCTTCAAAATCAAAGTAGGAAAACCCTCTGTTCCTCTCATTGTCTACCAGCCAGGCCCTCTTAACCTGTCTTCTGCCTTCCTCCCCCTGCCCCACCCCATCAACTACAACCTCTTCAGACTACTAGGCTATTAATGTGTGCTTTCACCCATGCACAGAATTTAGGTAGCTTACATAAAAAGACATTGTTTCCGGGAAAATTCAATAGTTGGATTTTCCATTTATTTGTTAATATCTTACCTCTTTCTTAAAAACAACATTTTATAACATAAGATTGTGTCCTATGATAGCCTCAGCATTTGAGTCAATGCTTACTTCTCACTTTGTTTCTCTCAGCTACTCAGGGCAGTAGCTGGACATTGAGGTGGGACCATAGGCCAGGGTTTGATCTTGGCTGAGCGAGACTCACCAGTTCTTCTGCCTCTAACAGGACTTTGCCAATACTATTCCTGGCCACGGAGGCATCATGGATCGCTTTGACTGCCAGTATCTGATGGCCACCTTTGTCAATGTGTACATCGCCAGTTTTATCAGGTACATGCCTTTCCCTCTGCACCAAGTTGGTGGATTTTTAAATACGGCGAAAGTCTAGAATTTTAGCTATATCTCAGTTTTAGTGAAAAGCATTCCAAATATAAATGCAGTTTTCCATTGCTACTATTTACTTATGGATTCTCGAGCCCCTCTGCCCCTTTAGTAGAGAATCCAGAGGTTGAAGCAGCCTCTTGGATAATCAGCTCTAGAAGTTGCTGGGCCCCCATCAGTGCATTTCATCACATTCTCTTCCAGGGGCCCGAACCCAAGCAAGCTGATTCAGCAGTTCATGACCTTGCGGCCAGAACAGCAGCTCCACATCTTCAGCACACTCAAGTCTCACCTGATCGACAAGGGGATGCTGACAGATGCCACGGAGGACTAGTAGGGGCCACGCAGGGCTGAGAGAGCAGGACTGAGCGAGGGAGCGGACACCAAGGCCAGCCCAGCTGGTGTGACTGAAATGATGACAAGGCTTCAACTCACTGTCTTTTTTTTTTTTTTTTAACTTTTTTGAAAGAGTGTTTTTTTATCTGTGGGTTTTTAAAAAAAATTCTGTATATACAGTCTATGTGCTTATGATTTGGGTTGTGAGTAAACTGTAGCTTTGAGTTGGAAAGAAGTCATGGGGGTGAAACTATTTGGGTTTTTTAAACAGAAGTTTTAAAAACCTGGAAGACAGTTTTGCCCAGGTACTTCTGGTCTCATCAGTTGAATTGGGCTCGATCAGGGAGTGGCTGTTCATGTGTTCTGACCCCGTCAGCGTCCCCCATACCTGTACTACCCCTTCTCCCCAGCAGAGGGGAGGTGCACGGCTTGGATGTCTTTGCCAGGAGAGCTTTCACCCGAGCTACTCTGTAATCCTGCCTGGAGCTCCAGGGGTCTGCCTGCCATGGGCTGGAGGGACAAAGGCTTATTCTCAGATCCATTCTGTCCACATGAAATCCTGTGGAACCTGAGCTCTGCTTTATGATATGCGTTCACCTTACTTCATCACAGACTGAAGTTTTCTCGAGAGAGAGCACGAAACATTATTTATAACAGTCTGGTAGAAAACACCACACTGTAATATTTCAAGTGTATACAGTAGCATGTACTGTAGCCGAGCCCCTTCCCCCATGTTTAGGCTCACATGGCTCCTAGGGGGCAGTCCACTCACTGTCTTTTCAGGGACGATGGTGTTCATATTTGTGCTGTGGACTGGCTGCTGCTGAGTCCTCTCTGGGGCTTGCCCGTTAGGCAGGGAGCAGAAGGTTTCTCGTTTGTGCCCCTTTGCCTGACTGACCACCCACGTAGCTGCTGTATTGTATATATATTGCTCCAGAGGCAAATGTGTATTGTGTATGTGTTTTAAAAATCACTTATTTCTTAGAGTGATTTCAATTGCCAAGACTTCTTCACTGAAATCACAAAGTCCTGCTTAAAACTCTGGAAAACCCAACCCAATTAGAGGTTTGACTATTCTGAAGATTAAATGCACACTTTTTATATAATGTGACCAGTTAAATGTAGTTTGTATTTTACTGGGGAACCTTATTTTTTAAAAAACAACGACTGTGATTTACTTTGTTTCCCTTCTTATTATAGGGACGAGGTTGACTTTGGGAAGGGGGTACAGGAGAGAGAACTCGGTGCCCCAGTGTGTTCAGTTGTTCTGTGCCACGGTTGTTCTCGTTGCCAAATGAGCATGGCGGCTCGCTGTAGCACCTGGCGTGGTGCTAGTCTGTTTTGTTTCTGTTTAAATCGGCCTTCCTGCCTCCCCGAGCTTACACACGGCCCAGATCCTGGGGCAGACCGCTCGATGTTTCAGCTCACAGTCACTGCACGACCGTCCACACGCATGCAGCATTGGCGTGGCCTCTCTCTGAACCTTCACTTCCATTTCAGCACGTGGCTCCTCTTCTTCAGGTCCGAGTCCTCCTTAAAAACAACATGTGTTTTTGTCTTGCCTGGACTTTCGTCCTGGCTGTGGACCGTGGGTGGTTCATGACGAATCCCTCTCTGGGTTCTTGTTTTCTGAGCTCTTCTAACTCCAGTCTTCCATGATCCTGGCTGAGTAAGATCATGTCAGCAGAGGCAGCTGTGGGTAATGAGTGATGTCTGGGCCCCTCAAAGCAATTGTTTGCTAGTCTTTTCTAAATATTTATCCTTCAGATGAGGCAGTGTCTCAGCAATGAATTAAGGCGGTGATTAGGAATGAGCCTGGTTTTCTTATTGAAGAACGAACTTGGTCTCCTGAACTGGGACAGAAAGGCACCTCACTGTTTCGTGCTGCCCCCTGTGGGCACGGTGGGGTCCTTGGGAGCAGGCATCTCAGTGGGAGCCCAGCAGCAGTCGAGTCACTCGTGAGCAGGGCTGCCTTGGGATCAGAGTTCCTGGCACGTTTCTTTGTGGAAGTGGTTGCTGGTAGGGCGTTGGAGGTCCTGCGGGTCCTGGAAAGCTGAAGGTGGTTACTCACCAGAGCTGCCAGCAAGAATGTCACGGGGTCAGCTGGGGTTTTTGTTTCTGGAGTTCTCCACATTCTCTCTGGTGAGACAGGAGGAGTTTCCGGGGACCGGGGGGCAGTCTGGAAAGCAGTGTCTATGTAGCACAACATTTTTCCCCTCCCATGTATTGGTGATATTTCATCATTAAGATAAGATTCAAGCCGGAACCGGTTTGGCTCAGTGGATAGAGCGTCGGCCTGCGGACTGGGGGGTCCCAGGTTCGATTCCGGTCGGGGGCATGTACCTGGGTTGCGGGCACATCCCCAGCAGGAGATGTGCAGGAGGCGGCTGATCGATGTTTCTCTCCCATCGATGTTTCTGGCTCTCTATCTCTCTCCCTTCCTCTCTGTAAAAAATCAATAAAATATATTTAAAAAAAAAAAAAAAAAAAAGATAAGATTCAAGAGACTATTTTAACACATATCTGTGCAGATCTTAATGGAACAACTTCAGATCCATTTTGTGTGTGTGTGAGAAATAAAATGCAACTGAAACTGTGCCCTCCCTCGTTGCAAATTCAGTTTCTTACTCCCATGCATGGCTTTATGTTCCCCACTTGCTTTGTATTCATAAATGCTGTGCCAAATGCTGTGCCTGGTTTAGAGATTTTTGTTTTGTTTTCCAGTTTGAATCCTATACATTCTCATAACGACCTTCCGAGGTACCTCGATGAGAGCCGTGAGCACCTTGCTGGTGAGGAAGTTGAGGGCCAGAGGGGAGAGAGGGTCACCTGGTAGACTCCAGTCTCCATCGTAGCATCTGCCCACCAGGACAAGGAGTAGATTGTCCCAGCCCCACTTGCCTTTGTGAAAGTGGCATTAGTGCATCTGAAATTTTAGGAGTTAGCTTAGGACGCCTGACCTGTGACAGGTGGGAGCTTAAGTTGCTGTTAGTTCATAAAAAGTGATATAAAGGAGCTGGTGAACAAGGGCGTTACAGCAGCAACCAGAGCTCTTCTGCAGCGGGCTGAGCCTGGGCACCCTCCCTGCTGAGGTTTTAATTGTTGAGAGTATTACAGATGTGCCCTCCCCCCTCCCATTTCTCCCCTCCCCCCTGCCCCCGCCCTTCCCCACACTATTGTCTATGTCTATGGGTTATGCATATATGCATATATTAGTAAGTTCTTTGGTTAATCTCTTGCCGTCCCCCCACTCCCCCTTCCCTCTGAGATCTGTCAGTCTGTTCCATGCTTCCATGTCTCTGGTCCTATTTTGTTCTTCAGTTTATTTTGTTCATTAGATTCCACATATGAGTGAGATCATGTGATACTTGATGTGATACTTGTCTTTCTCTTTCTGGCTTATTTAACTTAGCATAATGCTCTTCAGTTCTGTCCATGCTGTTGCAAAGGGTAGAGTTACTTCTTTTTTACTGCTACAAAGTATTCCACGGTGTAAATGTACCACAGTTTTGTATCCACTCATCTACTGATGGGCACTCGGGCTGTTTCCAGATCTTAGCTATTTTAAGCAATGCTGCTAGGAACATAGGGGTGCATTGGTGTTTCAGGATTCTTAGGATATATTCTCAGAAGTGGGATCGCTGGGTCCAATGGCAGTTCCATTTTTACTTTTTTTGAGGAACCTGGTGAGTTCTCCTTGTCACTGCTCACAGGACACCCAAGTCTTTCCCTTTGTGTGCGCGTGTCACCTCAGCATCACAGACATACACACATTTCACTCCTGCAAGTAAAACCTTTTAAGGCAGCCTGGGCCTTATTTATGTTTTTTGATTTTTTGGGGGGCCAGTTTTACATCCTGAACATTTTAGTATCTACAGTGTAACTATATTTAAAACATTTAGAGTTGTACAGTTCTGTAATGTATGTTTGAAACTAGTGTCTCTTTCAGAAGGGGTGAAATGCAACTTTTAACTTTACACAAGTAGACTTTGAAACCACTTCAATGGTATGTATCTTTTCCCACCGGGCCTCTTATCCTGTAAATTGACTTACATTATGCAAGAAGATTCCAAAGGTATGTTTTAAGGGAGATTAAGCAAACCTGTGATTTGAGTTTCAGCTCGTTGCTGAGTTGGCTGGAGGCCAGTTTGAGTGGATCCTTGAGTTCAGATCTTCAGACTGTCAGTGAGTCCTGGCAGGCCCAGGAACATCCCTGGTGTGGACGGGTGGGTGGGGGAGGATGTGAATGACTCAGGGCAAAGAGCACCACTGCTCAGAAAACTGCACAGTGGCCTTGCTCCCTAAGAAGCCTGCTTAAGGTCAGTTTTGTAAGGGAGTGATTTTCGCTGCCAATATATAGTCATTGCTGGAACTTCTTCCTGTGTCACCACTGCCTTTTGTTTTTTTGGGGTAACACATCTGTGTCCACCTTGTGATTATGTGCAGAGAAAAGGGTGGGGTGAGGGAGTGGCGATGTCACTTGTACCCAGGGTTCCTGTTCTTCCGAAGTCGGGGTGTCCAGGTGACTGTCGTGGACACCTCACAAGACAGTAAGCCCTGGCAGACTCTCACTGTGCTGTCTGCAGCAGGGGCTCAGGGAGCAGCTGGAACGAACCATCACTGAGGCCGCGGGGCAGGCTGAGCGCAGCGGTTAGGAAGACAGGTGTTGGGTTCAAACCGACCTGGGTCTGGGAGGTTGCTAAGTGCACCTCTGGCCCAGTTGGGTCTGATAACAGCGCCTCCCTTGTGGGATTAGTGTGAGGATTTTATGAACTAATGCACGTAAGCTTTTAGCACCGTGCCTGGCACATAGGAAGTGCTCAATCAGTGGTAGTTATTTTTGTTGCGCTCAGCTGGTAATTTGAACCCAAGTTGCTGTAATGCCAGAGACTGAGTCCTCGGCCACTACGCTGCCACCTTCCCTGCATGCAGGAAAGTGGCCGCACTGTCCTGGGAGAAGCAGCCCGACTTTAACACCCACCCACGGTAGCTGGGTGCTGTGCTTCCTTTAGAAGGCCAGCCTGACGAAAGGAATGAGGAGTGAGGGTGCTTTGAAATTCGTACTTAGCGGGAATGGTGTGCCTGCGGTCTTGCCCACTTCCTGCTGCCCCTGGTCTGGACTTTCCTCTTGCCGGTGGTGCCTCAACTCCAGGGGCGGTGAGGGCCTCTCTGTGACTCGCTCAGGACCCATTTCCCCCTCTGGCCAAGGGCCTTGCTCTGCACACACAGCCGGGAGCCTGCAGCAGCGCCCTGTACGAGTGGACAGCTCCAACCAAAGAGAGTGGAGAAAGAAGCCACCTCTGTAGCGGATTAGAGTACAGACAGGAAGCCTAGAAGCTCTGCCCACACCCTGACAGCCTAACAAGTCGGGGCCTTGTGTTTCATGCTTTCTTAAAAGTATTAACAGGGGAGAAGCAGGTGACCACTGAGGGCAGATGATGTGGGGTACTCCTGTGGGATTGTAGGTTAGCAAAGGACCACGTGGGTGATTCATGAATGAAGGGAGAACAGGCAGTCGACTGAGTGGGAAATATTTAATTTCATTTTCTGGAAGGAGATGGGGAGTTGGGGAGTGTGTGTGTGTGAGGTGGAGGATTCTTCACTTTGAAGAAATGGTGTTGACAAAGAGGACCTATGAAATTCTCAAGCCACTGGAATAGTAAGAGCTCGGAACGACCAGCTGGACTGTGAACTGTTTCCTGGGTGTTAGTGGGGAATGAAGATCAGATCCAAAGGCCACTGTGTTCATGGCCTCTCCCCTTCAGTTAATCCATGAAGCCGTGGTCATGAAGGAATCAGGAGAACGTGTTGTGGTGGTTCATAGCAGCTGCTGGGAGGGACTGACAGTGGGCTTGCCCTCTCGTCCTTCTGGGCTGGCGCTTGCTCCCTCATCGTTACAGCTAATAGACCCAGGTGGTTTTTTATCTGTAGAGAAAAAGGCTCCCAACTGGGACAAAGGCCCCTTGACAGGGCCCCTGCAGGAGCCTCCCCGCATTGGGCAGGGCCGAGCCTTTGCAGCTTTCCCTGGACGTAGAGCTCAGAGGGCCCGCTGGGTTGAGCCTTCTGCTGATTCTGTCCCAAGTGAAATGGTGTTTGCTGATACCATCCGCATTGCTGTCTCCGACCTTGACTACTGGGACGCTTACATCTCACCTCTGTTAGGTTCCTGTCCT